CATTTATGTATACATTTGTCTATATCTATCTCGATTCGTTTTGGCTGTTACAAACAACCGTTATGTGAACAAAATTAATATACCCTTGTGCACAAGTGCGCTCGGGTATATAAAAACAAAAAAGGTTCCGTACGTCATGCGGACTGCGCCCCTCGTGTCGGTTGGGCGGGAATGGAGGGTAAAAAGCCGTTGGGATTAATTAATTGACTAATTAAAGGTGGTCAAAAAATAGTAAGATTTATGACTAACAGAGCATAGTTTGCCAAAGAACGTAAAACCACTATAAAATTGTTAGAGCTGCCGGCGATAGTGAAGCAAAGCTAGTTGTGGCAATTTCTAGATATCAACCTAGTTTAGATATGAACCTCGTTGTAGGCATCATATCAAGGAGATACAATTAGAAGACTCCAGATGTGGTCCCGCCAGAAAAAGTTAAATATTGCGCCTAAATATATACATACGCTACAGCGGAAATAGACGACACGCAATTTCTTTAAATGGAATTAACTGCTGCTATATGTACATATGTACGTATATACAAAACGTAAGCAAACAACATTTTGCTTGCATAGTCTTCTGTTCTCTTTCATTGCAAGTTGAATTATTTTAATAGCTATTGCAAAATTTTGTATATAAAATAAAATAACACTTTTTAATATACAACGCTTTTATAAATGGACTAAAAATTAGGAAATAATATTTCTTAGTCCCTTAGAATTTGTATAAATAACTTTTGATTTTGAAATTTTAGCAGAAGTCATTATAAACCATTTATGAGAATGAAAATGAAAGGCGTGGTGCGCATGTAATAGACATGAATTGATATGAAGGGTAATATATGTATGTATGAATGTGGATATATGAATAACGACCGCTTAAAATCGATCTCAAATTTGTACTTTCTCTGTAGAAATTTTTGGTCTATGTTATGTAGTTTGACTATTGTCAATTAAATCTAATGCTTTGTATTGCATGCACTTCACGTTTTTCGTTTTCAATCCATAAATGGTTTAAATGACTTTTGCTAAAATTTCAAAATCAACTACGGCCCCTTTGCTTAGATGTAAATGCTTCAGTTTAAGATAGAGTTTACATATAAAGAACATTTCTATTTAAAGCAACAAAATAAAATCTTTATAAGAGCTGTTTTCATTATAAAGGTTTGCTCAAGCAGCAGCGGTATGGTATACCGCGCGGTGTAACTCCATATGGCATATTTGCTCATGTATGGATATACACAAGGTTCATAGAATAGAAGGTTACGACATGGTGCTGTCAAAAATTTGTTTTCCTCCAATGACGTAGTTGCGAAGTGAGTTGCTGAAATAGTGATTGGCTGAAATATTTTACGAAGAAGGAGAGTTCACAAAACGCAGAAAATATAGTTGCAGTATAGTATACTTTAGGAATCCTAATGGGCATTTTTGATATAAAATCGTGGCTAAGCTTATTATAACAACATAAAATGTTATAACTTCACGTGAAACTGGATTAACATAATAATATTCGTAGAATAGCATGATTCAATAATACAAGGTTAGATAATTATTGACAGCCGCCGTTTGACACTCCCTTACAAAAGGTTGCATTAACGAAGGACGGAGAAAGGGAAAGAATGAAAAATGTTAGTAGAAAAGTACGCAAAATAGGCAATTAGTAGTGAAATTCGTTTTAAACGAAATATTAATATATCTACGTGAATTACGTAATTTATGTCCTATTTAGCTGTATAAAAACTGCAAAAGGACTCAAAATTTAAATAAAACTACTATGAGATTTATGTAAACATCCAGTTTAAATACCACTTATGTTTTCTTCAGTTAAATGTGCTTCATATGCATATACAAATAAACATATTGCACAAGGGCTTATACATACTTCTACATGGGCGTAGCCAGGTAGGGGCAGGGGGGTGATCAACCCCCCCTAACTTTCAAATTTTCCTTATATATATAAAATAGTACCCTGAAAGGCCAGCTTAATAGGGTTGAGCGCACTTAAATTATTAATGATTTAAATAAATTCGAATACGCAGAAAAAAGCACAAACTTCGACGCAAATTGTCAAACGGTAAATATCAGGGTTACACATATTTGAAATAAAACTTGATAATTTTTGACCAAAATAGTGTATTTTTATAACATAATTTTTTAGGACTCTGGCAACTCCAAAAATTGTGCCATCTACGTCATCAAGATGGTGGCCACGGCTGATGTCGTAACCTTGTATTCTATGAACCTTGGGATATACATAATACATTTGTATATAGTTAACTTACATACACACCCAGTAGAAATTCTCTGCATACAACATCGCTATTGGTGGCATGAGCTTGCTCCTGTGTATACATGTGTATATATGTCCTGTGGGGAAAATCTCTAGTTCTGAACTGGTGCGCCTGTAGTACGTTTAGACC